TTGGTATAAATACATCACTCAGGGGTGTGGATTTTTCACATCCCTGAGTGATGTAGTTATACCAATGTAAGCCTATAGTATAGACCAATCCAGAGAAAGCAGCAAGTCCAAAACCATGTGGTAGGGGTAGGTAACTGAGGAAGTTTGATTTGAAGAATAGGGATGACTTGAGTTTCCTCGATGATGGGAGCTATGTCTGGGAAGATAGCAGTGGAGGAGAGGGATCTCTGGATGCGGTGAGAGAGGCATGCTTCCTCTATCTATTTATCTTTTAGGACAGTATGGGAGCTTGAACTCTGACATTGGGGTGAGAGCCATTAATCACTTCTTGGAACATCATAAGCATTTGTGTTTCCTTCTGTAACTGAAACTGTCTTGCGTAGTTTAATGTTTGCAAAATGTAAACATAGATGTGGTAAGCAACCTGTTTCTTTTTGTTTTACTCCATTTTCTTTCTGTTTTTAACAAATTTTGTTCTGATTAAGAAATCTGCTTTTGTGTGCGGTGAAGGTTCACCTAATCTTTCCTCAAGGAGCAAAGGCACCCTGTAAACTCAAAAGAGACAAATAGGACGAGAAAGAGGTTCTGAATTCTAAACCCCTCCTAACTCTCACCTCGATCAATAAAGCAAGGACAGGAATCTTAACTTCCTGCAAAGTGTGTTACAAAAGGTGGTGATGAGCAAATGCCTGGGGAGATACCAAAGGACCAAGGAAGAGATGAGCGTTGGTGGGAGGGTCAGGTAAAAGATGGCTAAAGGAACAGCACTGTAATAGTAGGAAAATTCAGGAACTAGCCCTATAGCTCAGATTCATAATCCAAATCTGACAAGACACAAGACCTCATCAACCTCACAGTGTTTCCTTCAAAGAGGAAAATGGTGTGTGAGAGAGACAACTAAGTGCATCAAAAATGAGCAAACTAATGCCTGAAGAAGCAGAGGGTAATCCTTGGATAGCATAAAAGTCAGTAGACGACTAGTCAGCACAGCTCAGAGCAGTACTGAGTCTGTTTGTGTCAAGAGTGGTTGTTTCAATCCCCTAGTTGAGCCAAGGATCAAGGGGAATTGTAAAGGTTGCTTACCGCAGCTTTTCATTATTATTCTCCTCTGTTCCCCCTGAAGCAGCACCATGCAGAAGCTCCGTGCAGCTCAAGATTCAGCCCATTTTTTTTTTCATTTAGGGTCTTCTAATAATATTTTAAGGTAGTACTGAATTATCCGTCAGAAACTTCAATTGTATTGTATGGTCTCAGGAAAAATAAAATAACACCACTCTAAATTTAAATTAAAAACAAAATACTCATAATTTATAGAGATACGAATTTCTAGTTGAATAGTCAAGGGCATTTCAAATATGGTCTATTGTTTCTTTTGTAAGCCATCTTACCAAAGCAGTACTGTGATTTCTTCTTGTTGTTGTTTTTGTTTTTTTAAGAATCTAAAGATATATTAGGCAAGACCGAACGGTTTATTTTCCAAGTGTTTGTTCCTTCCTTTTCTTCTCGAAGGAACTAGTTTCTCATAGATACTTTTACTGCTTTAGAAACTTTGCATCTAAAACTATTTATGGTTCCCTGTCAGCAGCGGAACATAATTATGCCATACTTTGTGCAGCAAAATTGAAGGTTTTTTTTTTTCAATTCACATTCCAGTAAAACCATTGTTGTCAGTAGCATAAAAACATTGCTGCTGAATTATTCAGTAAAATGTCATATAAAGCTTTCTGTTATTTCTTCACATTTTTACTGGACTGTATTCTGTTTATATGCTGTGTTACTACTACCAATTGGTAACCCAAATTACTTTTGCAGTTATGAGATATTGTGCCATATTGTGTGCTGTCATAAACCAAGAAACATTAACATGCCATTGTTCCCATTGAAAACAACACAACTACACGTTTTCAACAGAATTAACTCAGAATAATACTGGAATTATCTTGGGATAAAAGGAAGTAAGATGTATTTGATTATGGTTCTGTATTTAGACTAATGCTATAATTCTATCAACACATAATAGTAAATTGGATGTTTGCATGTGATATACCTGTTTAAATTCAGATGGAAAAGGCAGTGATAAAGAAGTGGCATTCAGCAATTCTGAAAAGGAGATACAGTGGGGAGATTATATATAAAGTTGCCATACATACTGGTGTTCATGGGATAGAGCTGGTTTTCGATATCATGTTCTGGTGTCCCAGGAATTTCTTTTTGGGACATCTGAAATTTCCCTTTTTTGCATGTAATTAATCAAAACAATACAGATTTTTTAAGTACAAAATGTTAGTTCCAACATACTGTTACCCTGCTGTAAAATGTTTGTACACCCATCTCACTCTCATCACACAGCTAATGTGTTTTACACCAACCATTGTTCAAGGCCAAAGCTTGTCGTAAGTTGTCAGGCAACAATGTTACAATACGTGTCTGAGGAGTCAATGACTCATTCTAATCACTCCAAACTTTGCAGCTCTCAGAATCAGAACCCAGAGCTGGATCCTTACTTTGTGTTTATCCTTCTCAGTAATGTGTTGTATTGAAACCCATCTTCAAATGTGGTAGTTTTCAATGGGTGGGATCCTACAGGGGTTCCCCCAATGGGACCCTGCAGGCAGAGGTGCTGGAACAATTTTTATAGCGGGGGTGCTGAGAGCCATTGAACCAAACTGTAAACCCTGTATGTAATGGAAACTATGTCAAGCCAAAGGGTGCGGCAGCACCCTTAGTTCCAGCACCTATACCCACAGGCATGGGCAGCGGGTATTGCAGGCAGGGGTAGGCTGTGCATTCCCAAACAGCCTAGCATGGCCCCGCCCACACTCCACCCCAGGCCAGGACCCCTCCTGCGGTTCCCAGAGGGCTCTGCTTTGGTTGGCTGGCCCGGGCTGGCTGGCCTGCCTCACACAGGGAGTCAGGGTGGCTGGTCCTGGGGCCGTGGCCCCAGAGCACCGGGGCAGGCCGCCCCACCTGGCTGCCAGGAGCCCTGGGGCCAGGACCGCTGCCGCCCAGTGCACTGGGGCCGGCCTCGCCACCCGAGCACCGGGGCCGGGAGCACTGCTGCCCAGCACACCAGGACTGGCCGCACTGCCTGGAGCACTGGGGCTGGGGCCTTGCCACCTGGCGCTGGGGCCGGAGGCCACAGGTAGGGTGCTCTGGGCTCCTGTGGAGGAGGGAGGGGCAGAAGGGGAGTGGCCAGGGGCTAACGTCCTGCAACGGCCGGGTTACTGACCACCCATGCCCACAGGGATTGATTCTTGGCCCTACGCTATTAAACATTTTTATCAACGACTTTGAAGAAAACATAAAATCAACACTGATAAAGTTTGCAGACAACAAAAATTAGGGGAGTGGTAAATAATGAAGAGGACAGGTCATAGATCTAGAGTGATCTGGATTGCTTTGTAAGCTGGGCACAAGCAAACAACGTGTATTTTGACATTGCTGAATGTAAGTGTGTACATCTAGGAACAACTAATGTAGATTTGAGGGTCATGGTGGATAATCAGCTGAACATAAGCTCCCAGTTTGGCATTGTAGCCAAAAGAGTGAATGCAATCCTGGGATGCATAAACAGTGGAATTTCGAGTAGGAGTTAGGTTATTTTACCTCTATATTTGGCACTGGTGTGACTGCCGCTGGAATACTGTGTACAGTTCTGTGCCCATAATTCAAGAAGAATGGAATGTTGATAAATTGAAGATGGTTCGGAGAAGGGCCATGAGAATGATTCAAAGATGAGAAAACATGCCTTACAGTGATAACTTCAAGTAGCTCAGTCTTTTTAGCTTAACAAAGAGAAAGTTAAGGGGTGACTTGATCACAATTTGTAAGTACAAAATTTGTAAGGGAACAAAAATTCTAAAATGGGCTCTTGAGTCTAGTAGAGAAATATATAATATGATTCAATGGCTAGAAGTTGAAGCTAGACAAATTCAGACTGGAAATAGGGTGGATATTTTTAAGAATATGGAATAATTAAGCATTGGAACAACTTACGAAGGGTCATGCTGCATTTTCTGTCCTGACAATTTTTAAATCAAGATTGGATGTTTTTTCTAAAAGCTGTGCTCTAGGAATTATTTTGGGGAAGCTCTATTACCCTGTGTTATACAGAAGGTCAGACTAGATGATCACAGTGGTGTCTTTTGGTCTTGGAATCCATGAATTCTGTTCATGTTCTTATATTGCCCACATATTGTGGTATCTAAGTTTGGGTGCATCTCGAAAGGAAATGTCTAGCATAACTTGATTATGTGAAAATCTATGAGGGGTGGCAATTTCTAACAGGCTTACTGCTGTAATATTATATCATAGTTGAGGTTGCCCTTTAATATTTTATTGTCGGAAAACATCAATAAAGAAATAATTTAAATAGAGTAAAGCATCTCAAAAATTTCAGATCTACATATTTAGCTGTAATGTACAAACATCTGTAAATATTAGGCTGTTGTGTTACACATAGCTGTTCTGGGTTTATCTAATATTTAGTAGCAGAATGTTGTCTGAAATGTGGGCATTCCTGGCTAATTGCTATATTATAGATCAGAGGCTCTCAACCTTTCCAAACTATTGTACCCCTTTCAGGAGTCAGATATCTCTTGTGTACCCCCAAGTTTCACCTCACTTAAAAACTACTTGCTTACAAAATCAGACACAAAAATACAAAAGTGTCACAGTACACTATTACTGAAAAATTGCTTAAGTTCTCCCTTTTACCATATAATTATAAAGTAAATCAAATGGAATATAAATATTGTACTTACATTTCAGTGTATAGTAGATAGAGCAGTATAAACAAGTCGTATGAAATTTTAGTTTATTCTGACTTCACCAGTGTTTTTTATATAGCCTGTTGTAAAACTACGCAAATATCTAGATGAGTGGATGTACCCCCTGGAAGACCTCTGCATACCCACATGTACCCCTGGTTGAAAACCACTGTTCTAGACTAGTTATAAGCCTGACAGTCCTTTATAAACTCTAAACATATTTGTTTCTAGCAATTACTTGTCGCAGACAAGATGGAGGACCGGCTGACATCAGTGAGTGCCTTAAATATGCAGGCCCTTTACCAACATTAACACAGGCCTGCCAGATTCCTTGCCAAGATGACTGTCAGTTCACAATCTGGTCAAAGTTTTCTTCCTGCAATGGGGACTGTGGAGCAGTCAGGACGAGAAAGCGCTCTCTTGTTGGTAAGAGTCAAAGGGATACTGAAACATTGTTTATTATTAGCTAGTATTTATTTTATTTTAAACTTATACAGTTTATATCAGTCTGAAGGATACCCAAATGCATACATCATTGACAAGCAGGCAGCTCTGAGGTCTAGGGCAACAACCAGGCAGATAATTGGCGTGCACTACACAATATTGCAGGGTTTGAGGGGGGAAAAATATCAGTAAAGAACACTACAGAAAACTCTAGGTCATAAGAGAAGTAACATGGGATTACCGATGAAATCATGGTCTCTTCTATAAGATCGATACACAATAAACTGCATAGTAGACCATTTATCTTTTTGAAGGACTGAGTCAACACTACCTGAGGTTCCACAGAGTTGAAATATTTAAAGCAATGTGTTAACCTACTGGGGCCTGGTCCAGGCCCATGGAAGTCAATGGCAGTCCTTCCATGAACTTTTGGTCAGCCCCTAAATCATCCCCTCCAGCCAAAATGGGCATAATCATTGAATTATTGACCATTTTCTACATCCTGTCTCCAAGTGCCTCAATTGTCACAGATCTGCTGTCATTATTGTTTACTATTTTCACTGCATTAGTGCCCGAAGGTTGTCACGGGAGTTGACATCCCATTGTGCTATGTACAGAACAAACATAAGGTAAATTAGAGTCCTTGGGGGTTGCTAGCCCAGCAAAAACTGGAGGTTTTTCTGGTTATTACAGATGGTTACAAAATGTTTTTCATGAACATTTTTACAAACACTTTTTCCTGCTTTTTGTTGAAATTTCATTGTGATTAAAAATTTGCACAACATTAACTAATCAGGTTTCAGAGTAGCAGCCGTGTTAGTCTGTATCCACAAAAAGAACAGGAGTACTTGTGGCACCTTAGAGACTAACAAATTTATTTGAGCATAAACTTTCGTGGGCTACAGCCCGCTTCTTTGGATACATAGAATGGAACATATATTGAGGAGATATATATACACATACAGAGAGCATGAAAAGGTGGGAGTTGTCTTACCAACTCTGAGAGGCCGATTAAGTAAGAGGAAAAAA